CTGTGATATTCATACATTCTTCAGGTTGTCAAGAAGAAGCCACAGACTCTTCTCCTCACACATAAAGTTAATGGTCACAGTCCCCTGACTCACTTCTCTTTGTCAGAAACGGCGAAATAACAAAAATCTGCAGTCAGGTGTAAATGAATCTTCGTTTCTGGAGGGAAAAGATTGATCGTTTCACTGCTTTTGGTTACAGAATAGTCTCCTTGCATTTTCCCTGACTTGTTGAAGTATTTGATTGCCTTGTACAATTCACCTCACAACGTCATTGATTATGCGGTTGGCTGGCGACCAGTCCTGGGTGTGTCATGCCTCTCGCTCAAAGTCAGCTCCGACAGGCTCCAGTTCACCTGTGACCCTAATTAGGACAGGTTCTACATAAAAAGGATGGATGGACTTATCTCAGTGGTTGCCCATGCAGAGACATTTCCATTAGGAGCTAAAGAGTATCTGACATTGGGCTCATTTGTTAGCATATGCTCACCTGCATAAATCCTGTCACGAAGCAAGTCCGATATGTATCAAACATTCTACTTTGGCGATAATAACGATCAGTTTGGAGTGACACTGTCACAGACTTATTCAACCAGTTTCAACCAGGCACCTCTCGTGTTTATGTCAGTCTTGGTGCTAGTCAGTTGCATTGGCTGTACAAAGTTGCCAATGTTTATTTTCAAGACATGATGCCATAATAGTTATGTTAGTCCAGTTTGTATCCGGCAAAACAAGTTGCAAACAGAACCCAGAACAGGACAAATTGTCTTGAGTTGTTACAAGTGGTTCCAGCGGAGAAAGGGATGAACTTTACTTTGGTCACATTAAAAACAAATGTATGTTTTCTGCTGCTGTTCATGATAGTGGCGACAAATTAACTTCCATTTTGCAGCTGTTGGAGAACTCAAGAGTAAAAAAGGTTTTCCGGGTGCCTTTAGGGGTGTTCACACGGCACACATTTGCATCGGTGCTGCAACGATGTATTTTGTTGCGATATATCTTACACCAGTGTAAATTTTGTGGAGCGTTCACACGTATAAATCTGCTTTCTAAAGAGAAGCGCGTTAACCCCGGTGCAGCCCCACTTGCGTACACACGGCAGTTTCTGCGGCCATGCAATACGATAGTAATAATATGGAAATAAAATGTGCATGCATAAAGTGTACTTCCTTTTCCCCGCCCTGTTTGTGACATATTGAAAAACCATGGTTTATACTTCTCCGGACAAATCAACGCCGTGGTCTATCAGACACCGTTAAAAGGATGAGAGAGGGAAAGGAAAGATGACGGAAGTCCAACAGAGCACGAAAGCCACGCATTCAATACCCATATGTAATCAACTATTCTCACGCGTCGTAGCAGGTCTACCCCTGTAGCATTCACACGTCCTATTTTATATCGCTGTTGCCCCGCAAACTAGCATTTACTCCGGAGTAAATTTTTAAACCACCTCCTGAGCAGGGTTAAATTTGCTCCGGTTTAAGCTGTTTTCAAGGGCTACACCGGTATAACTTTGTACGTGTGAACGCTGTACGGGGGCAGCCTCGGTGTTACACCGGAGTAAAAGTTGCCGTGTGAACACCCTTTTTGTCTTGCATGCTGTGCGGTGGCATTACGGCGGCGAGTCAAGTCCACATTTATCAAGTGGAGGTCAAATCAGAGTCATAAAGGTCCATAGCTTCACGACTACAAAATTAGAGAAAGTTAATTATGATAAACACTCTTCTTCGATGGGATAGAAACTTTTGCTTTATTCACTGCATGTGCAGATAAACAACAAAAACAATTTCAAAACAATGTTGCTTTATTAATGATGGTCGTGCCTCGGGCAAGAGACAAGGAGGAAATTGGGCACTGGGGAGTCGCAAACTGCACTGAGCAGTGAGAGTCGGCTTTAAATATACCGGCGCCAAACTCAAAGCTACTGAATGAACACGAATGTGTCGCTGCAGCAGGTTTAGCTGTCCCCGATTCCCACCGAGATTCTGTGAATACAAGATAAAACAAGTAATGCACAATAATCGTTTGATTCAGCATATGAAGATCACTGTTGCTTTGTTTTTAGGGTGTTTCGACGCATATCTGTGCTTGCACGTGTTACACGTTTGCCCTGCTTTAACAAAGAGAATCAGTCGTTTTGTGTGACTCAAAGCGAAATCAATTCTTCTGCAAAAATGTATTTTAACAAAGTAAACTGAACAAAAGTGTCTGATCAATCAGATAGCTATTCTGAGAATCGGAAAAACTTTATTTCACGTTTATTTTTGACGTTCAATTTCAAAGATAAAAAAAAAAGATAGTTGGGCTTGGTCGAATTGCTAAAATTACTTCGCGAGTCCCATGGCCAAATCGGACTCAAGTCAGAGACAACAAAACACTGTCGTGTCCGAGTGCGGACTTGAGCACCACAGCCCCGGTGACATGGCTTTGAAATGATTAGCGATGTTAGTCGGACTTGTCTTACCATGAGCAAGGCGCTCCAGCAGCTCAGATTGTGAGCTTTAGTCCAGTACATATTTTGAACAGATTCGCCCAAAGGGATGCTCAAGGCTGTCAAGCCCTTCTTGCCCCCCTTGAGTGCCATCCTCAACAGTTTCGTTCAGCTGAGGAGAGGAAATGACTCTGGGGTTGGAGTTCATCATGTGCCTGGGAAGATCCCCACTCCTCGATTTGAAGTATCAACCTCAACAACAAGCTGTTGACAGTTAAGAGAAATGGTGCACTCAATCACCAGGTACTGTACAAAGCGTAATTTGTACCTTTGCCAATTGATTGCACTGCTTCATTACTCACAAAAGGCGGCTTGTGCTGTTTAACAGTGAAAGAAGCTTTGAATCCACCAGGGGTGTTTTTTTTAAATAAATGTTTGTTCAAACACAACAAATGGAGATACTTGACAATTGGCCCAACATTCCTGGGAGACTTACAGTACGTATTTCACTGGCTTCTCCTGTTCTAGCACAGTCACATTCCTTGTGCGGTGTGTCCCAACCTAATGAGATTACGTTAAGTAATATTGTAGAAATTTCTTCTTCATTTTCTGATGTTAATAAAGTGTTTTTTTTTAATGTGGGGAGCTTCAAATGTGTGCAAATAAAGGCATAAATGCCGAGCAGAGGACTAAACAGGGTTTTGTATGACTAGTTTCAGTGGAGACATTCATCGTGGGTCTGGTTTGCAGCAGGTGAGGTGATGCGCAGCATTTCGGCTTGCAACTTCAGTTACTCGATAACAGTGGCTGTAAGATATACCTGATTGTCAATTTATGGATCAATCAAAGTTTGCAATATCATTTCCCTGCAGCGTTTTTGTTTTTTTTAACTATCCTGTCAGGTAACAGTCTCGATAGCGATTTAGAATTTGCAGTGGTTGATAACAACGATGATCTTGTCTTATGCTCACCACCTGCATTGAGTAACAAATCCTTTTGACTTTCAACCACTTACAATTTGGCCGTTCGGACAATTCAGTTGGGTTTATTAATGTTACCTTTCGAGGCCCAGCAAGGACATTGTACAACAAATACAGAATTATAACCGCCCATTCCCAAAAAGAATTCAAATGAATAAATAAGCAAGCACACCAATGCATTACAGTGTAAAGGCGATTTTAAACTGTTACGTTTTTATTTGAAAATGGGGATGGATTCAGATTTGGGGATGACAGGTAGCAGAGAGTTCCAATGCTGGTGGTATCAGATATTAAAGTCTCAGGATCTGGATCAGGACATGCAACATTTTGCTTCCAAGGTAAAAAGAAGGCTGCATCAAAGTATAACATTGATGGAACATATTCAATTTGTCGAAAATCCAAAGGTGTGAGAATGTTCAAGAGCAACCTTACAGCTCATTCAGCACCACTTTTAACACTTGCGTTATTCAGTACAGTATTTAGTGGCATTCGTTACCCATGAGCTATGGCAGGGGTTTCACTGAACATTTATAGCTATGTCAATATGAACTATACTCTGCGTGTGTGTGTGTGTGTGTGTGTGTGTGTGTGTGTGTGTGTGTTTAGCTGTACTGTATTTTAATGTTGGTCATTATTGGTCAAAATACCTGAAGAACCAAGTATTTTTAGGTCGTACTTGGTTTACAAAGTTTGAGAACCACTTTTTTCAACTGTTTTCCCCATTAGTAGATCAGGAACAATTTCTGACACTTCTCACACTTTTAGATGTCTGCTCCTAAGGGCTGCAGCATCAAATATTTAACACCGAACAGGGTGGCAGTCGTTAGACCTTGTCAAATAGTGAGGCAAAACATTTTTTTTTCCAAATTGTAGCATTTTATTAATCAATTGTAAAGACATTTTGAGATCAATATTCTATTGAATAAATATTTACAATCTGGCCTGTGATTATCAGATTTTCATCAAACCGTAATGTAGTAATAAATTTCTAAAAATTCTATTCAGCAACACTTGCACATTTAGCTGTATGAATGACAAGCACGGATAGACTTTTTTTTTCTTTGCGGAACATTGTTGTGAATCAATGACTTGATTTGAGGAGCACGTTTCGAACTTTGTGGAGCAAAAGACAGAGGTAAAAAAAAGAAGAAGCAGAAGTAAAAGAAGACTACAACGAGGACATCTAAGAAAAAGCAACCATAGTCATGGCAACTTGATTTGTATTTCCATAAGGATTTACGAGGCACATAAATCCACCAGGATTGTACCTTTTGGCTACAATGTGACATGGGATTTTGGTTAAGGTAAGACCAACTTTAAATTAAAACATTTTGGCATTTTAGGAGTTAAAGCTGTGGCAGGCAGCCACCTGCGTGCTCCCGCTGTACTGAAAATTTTAATAGATTGGCAAAAATGTGTGTGAATGTGTGTGTGAGTGTGTGTGTGTGTGTGTGTGTGTGTGTGTGTGTGTGTGTGTGTGTGTGTGCGCGCGCGCGTGCGTGCGTGCGTGTGTGTGCGTGTGCGTGCATGTGTGAATATCTCTGAGTAGCCACCATATTATGGAGATGCACTGACATTTTAATCAAATTAGATTTTTCATTTGATGGACTGGATGTTTTTTTTTTTTTTTCACTGACAGAAGTGATGACGGAAGCGTGTTAAAATAACACGATGGACTGACGATAAAAGTTCGCTTTAGCTTAAAATTACACACTGACAATGAAGGACAGGTGCCCAAGTTGATGACGGACTGGGAAAATTTATTAAATTGCCCACCCCTGTTTAATATGCTAGTCATGTCATTCTTAGGTTAGCTTAGCATTTGGCATGGCCATCTTTTCTCATCACCCCTTTGTATGACACTTGTCAGAAGTCTTTGCTTATTTTCCAACCACGTGGCCGATGATTACTGCCTTCAGAGTAACTCCGCAATGTGTTTAGGCGCACTAGTAATCAGCCAGCGCTGTGGCTAGCTAGCTGCTTCTACATAAGTAACACAGAGCATCCCTTCGACCTCAGTGATATGAGCCGAGCAAAGGTTTTTGGGAACATTTCGGTGGTTCTTCTGCAAAATTCATTTCACAGGCGTCTTGGCGCTTGAGTCTTAGTTTTGCTATTCAATGTTTTAATGAGACACAAAATATACATTTTGACCCCTTAACAGCGATGCGAGACAGCTTATTTCGAGCCTTGACCAAGTATATAAAAAAACTAACCAACAAAATTAAAAGATTAACACCTGAGAGCTACCCTAAGTTTTGCAGAGCGCGCTCGAGCGTTGTCTTGAACATCAGCCTTTGTTGGGGTGATCACCTTCTTTTGCAAAGGATGCCAATTAGCAATTGTGCCATCCTTTTTTCTCTCCACTGACATTTTCTTCCCAGTGATTTGCTTCGCCATGCCAAAGTGATACTGCTCTGTATTAGTCAAATCATCACCCTGAAGGAAGCGCTTGACGATTCGGTCTTCTAAAGAGTGAAATGTGATGACGCAGAGACGTCCTCCAGATTTCAGTGCTGTCTGGGCAGCGCGTAAACCGGCATGAAGTTGGTTTAACTCATCATTCACAAAGATGCGCAGAGCTTGAAAGGTCTTGGTGGCCACATGCGCAGGTCGGTGAAGTCTGTCCTTTCGAGCATACAGAGCAGCTGGAGGAAAAGATCCTAGAGACAGACACAGAGAAGATTGTAATGTCTACATTACACAATCTATGATAGTGACCATTGAAGTATTACAAATACAACTAAATAAGAAACAGCTTCTTATTTCAGAAAATTGTGGGGCACTTTGGACCTGAATGCATTCGGTTACAACGTTTCTTTCTTTGATTGTAATTTTCTGGAAACCAGCATAACCTTTGAACAAAGAAGAAAAGCCAAGCCACTTATGTCTGCCCCTCTTAACATGGAGAAGCTCTGACAGTAAACTCCTATGTCTAAGGGGGCCTCCAGTCATTCTGCGGCGAAACCTCAATTCTGATGCTTACACCCGTGACCTTTTATTTTTGGTTGCTTCCCAAAGCTCACCACCATAGATGAGTATGGTAGATTATGGTAGAGCGGCTGTTGAGTTCAGCGTGACGTTAGGGCTGGATGATAAATCGAAATTTAAATTGTGGTTTCGATTGTGACTGCTCGATTTTTAAAATGAGGAGAAACGATTAATGTGCAGAATGGCGCGGTGTGTTTGTAAGTCTCCGACACTGTGAGAGTACCTTGAATGCACAGCCTTTATTTCGAATCTGTTCTTAAATTTTACTCCTCACTCTAACAACGCCTTTAAAACAAGTTATCGTGATGCGAACCACAGCCATGTTGCATTGTTATCTTGTAGTTATTTACTGTCCCCTTGCTGGCCCTTACACTGGCTTTTTAGATCGTTTTTCTCAACTTGTGACTGACTTGGTGACTCACGAAGATAATACACTAATTGTGTGTGACTGAATCTCCTGTCGAAACAACTTACCATGGCATTTCAGACACTATAATTGATCCTTTTGGTCTCAAAAATGGTAACACTATAGATTTGGGACTAACCCTGGGCTAAGCAATCTCAAATGTAATAGTATTACTGTATACCACAATCAAAGCTATAGCAGCCGCAATATTAGTTCTTCAAACACTACTGTGCTCTCTGAGCTCTTGCCCCTGGCAACTGCTTCCTTTCTTTCTTACATTGACTGATAATCTCACAAATAATTTCTATGCTGTTCTGTTAAATACTCTTAACTCCGTAGCTCCATTAAGACTTAAACCTCATCCTAAAAGGCCTCCTCCATGGTTTACAGATGAAACACACACCGTTAATCTTGAAGCTTGAGCGCAAATGCCGTGCAACTCAACTTGAGGTCTTCCATCCAGCCAACCTCAAATAGCCGCCCCCCCCCACCATTCAGTTTATGATTTTATGCAAATTTTACTCAGAAGATTAAGCTCTTTAGGTGCAAGATTAAGGCTAACAATTGTCAAACAACCCTCTCTCATTAAAAAAAATGCATCTCTTGAAAGCCTAACAGCACTTGTTCGCGTGGCAAAACAGGCAACTACCAGGCAAACTCATTAAAGAACCGTTTACGATTTTAGGACCTTCCATCTTAAATATGACTACCGTAATTTATATTTGATTACATTTGATTCAATGCTCTCTTTTCAAATGCACATTAACAATATTACTTGAACTGTGTTTTTCCACCTTCACAATATTGCTAAGATCCATCCCATTTTATCTGCTCGTGACGCAAAAATCATAATTCATGTGTTTGTTATGTCTTGCCTCGATTATTTCAATGTATTGCTCTCTAGTCTTCCTATGTCTAGTATTAAAAGCCTGCAGTTAGTGCAAAATGCTGCAGCTAGACTCCTCACAAGACAAAAATATTCAGTCATATTACCCCGTTACCAGCCAGCTTGCATTGGCTTCCGGTCCACTTGAGATGCGATTTCAAGGTTTTGCTACTTACGTCTATGGCTTAGGATCTTGTTGACTTACTGGTACCCTATGTGGCATCCCGAAACTTCATTCGCAAAACGCTAGTCTTTCAGTGATTCCCAGAGCCAAGTCAGCAGGTTCTAGAGCAGGGGTGCCCAAACATTTTTGACCGAAGATCTACTTTTCAATCAACCAACCTCCCGCAATCGACCTGTTATCACGCACGCGCACATACGCATGCACACACACATGCCATGATGAGCGATAGCCTGACGTTGAGGCATGCGACGCACTTAGGCAGCCTGTTAACGATCGTAGTTCACGCGTCCCGTTTAAAATGCTTCTCTCGGCCCTCCAGATTCCCATTCTTTGCCCGTCCCCTCGGTGAATTGTACAAAACAAACTCTGAATGTGAATAATGATAACGATAAAAGATATAGCGCCACAACTCTGATCACAAGCTGCAACTGCAGACTGCTGAGCGCTAACAACTTCCGGTGATGCAGTCACACGTCACCGTAGGTAGATGACCTGCTTTATATTATTTTATTTTTAAATACTTTTTGTGAAAGTGAGACTGATTGAATGATATATTACTAATATGCACAGAGACACAAATGTTTGTTTTTTCCCTCTACACCCCTCGGATCGACTTGGGACCAGTCCACGATCTACTGATCGATCGCGATCGACGTAATGGGCACCCCTATTCTGGAGCATTTTCGACTCAGGCTCCAGTGTTCTGGAATGCCTGACCCACAGAAATTAGAGTCGCTATTTCACTAGAAATGTTCAAAACATGACAAGGACTCATTTGGTCACGCTCACATTTAGTTGAACTGCATATTGGCCTGTTTGACTGCCGCTTCTTTTGTTTGTCCTTCCCCCTCCTCCCTGATCTGGAGAGGGGACTAGCTGAATAGGTACTTCTATGAAGATTTCTTTATTGACCAACCGGGCCGGGTTTTGAGGAGGACCCACATCTCCGAAGATGTCTCCCTACAACATTTCATCTTGTGAAATGGATCACGATGGATGCATTCTGTTCACATCAGAAGTCGCACTTGTTTTTGTAATGTGAATGAGTACATAAAATGAGCGAATTTGAAAAAAAAAAAAATACTAATTGGGCATCATGCCATGGAGTGGAATCATAGCCTTAGAGCTGTACTCCAAAAACTGAAAATTACATTTTAATATTCTGATTTTGTGGCTACGTATTTATGGACCAAATGGCCAGCAGTAGCAAGTCTCGGCTGCTGTACTCCTGCTACACCATCCACAGAACAGTACAGAGCATGTGGTAGAATGCCTTTTCCGTGCACACAAAGCACATGTGGATTGGTTGAACAACTCTGATGCACATTCTAGTACACTTGTTAGTATGTACTGATGGTCTTGTGTTCCATGGCCTGGGACGGAAACTACATTGTAGGCTGAAATAATGGCAGGGCTCTGCAATCACATTCCCAAGAATAGAATTTTCCTAGATGGCTGACAAGTGGTGGTCCAGTGCTTAGCGCGTCAACTTCACAGTGCAGAGGTACCGGGTTCAATTACAGCTCTGGTTTCCCTGTGTGGAGTTTGCATGTTCTCCCCGGCCCTGCGTGGGTTTTCTCTGGGCACTTCGGTTTCCTCCCATATTCCAAAAACATGCATGACAGGTTAATGGAATACTCAAAATTGTCCTTTGGTGTGGATGTGAGCATGGATGGTTGTTTGTCTCTGTGTGCTCTTCGATTGGCTGGCAACCGGTTCAGGGTGTCCCTTGCTTACTGCCCTAAGACGGCTGGGATAGGCTCCAGCAAACCCCGCGACCCTTGTGAGGATTAAGCGGATCAGAAAATGGATGGATGGATGGCTGACCAGCGTGGTAGCTCTACAGTTGAAGCATCCATTCTGCCCTCCACCCTGCCTACCCATCTGCCAATCCAGAACACTGTCCCCAAAATCAATTTAAATCGAGACATCTAAGGGACAAAACATAAGATGGGACACATGGAAGACCCTCATTAAAAAGGCTACCCAGTTAAATAAATACTCTGCTTGGGCAAATGGCACTTGTGCAGTGCTAATGTATTTATATCATTAATTCAGCATGAGTCAAGCGTTGACGGCAACAAAAATGAGATTACTTCCTGAAGTGACAGAAGGGCAGCAGAACTGAGCTGCGGGTCCATCCGGGCCACGAGAGCCTCAATGCAGAGCAGATGGACATGGTGTTGACTGGCGAATGTGTCATTAAAATACTTAAGTCAGTGGAACCAAATGTTTCTAATTCATGAACGCCATGTTCATATTTCAAATGTTGTTGTTGTCTGACTGTTAGACTCAGCTGCCAGAACTTGGAACCAGGCAAAATTTAGCTTGCAATAATATATTCATGATTCTATTAAAAAGGTCAGTGAGCCTTGCTAAACTGCACATGAAATAAGTAAAAATGCAAACATCGGAGAAGGTGACTTTAGATGAAAGGTAAACTACACTTGTCTCTTCATATACCGCTCTAACCAAAAGTAGAAGGAAAATTTAGTCCTTTGCTGGCAATATAAATCCGATGGGCGAAAGGCAAGACACCGCGTCCTACGGCATGATGGCCGTTCATAAACGATGGTCGACCAGGTGGAGTGGGTGTGGTCATCTCAAACATGAATCTGGCGTATTGCCTGTTCATGTGAGATTGATGCCCAATCGGGTTATTTCGTGGTTTTTCCTCATAGCAGCACACAATTCATGTCAGTAACTCCAAAATATTGTGCCCATTGCCTATACATTTTCACAGGTTTAAAATGGACCAGAGTATGAATGTGCATATGAATTTTAGAGGCGATGAAATCACTGATTGAGACACGAAGTGACAACAGCCGTGGACAGGCTGAGATGAGAAAAATAAATACATACTGGTAAATAAAAACAAGACACGTACCAATAGAGGAAATGAAATGCCTACTTGTAGTAAAATTCATCAGTAAAAAAAAAACTTCTTTTATGGTTGTGAATTTTAGTGCTGACATGCTTTTTACAGACAGACCTAACATATTAAGTGCCACTGCTATGCCCATTCAAGTGTCCCTTCAATGTTTACAACTTCTGGAAATTAAGTATCTGTGGATGCCACTTTCATATTGCTACATGATCACAAAACAGCTGGACTACTTAAAACCGATGTGATTTTAAAAATTGTGATTCTACTGAGAAACGTCATTAATCTAGTAGCGTGGCTGCTGGCCAACAA